TCCAGAGCGCTCAGGAGCTCAGACTGGGCGAAGGTTCACCTTCCAACAGGACAACAACCCTAAGCACACAGCCAAGACAACGCATGAGTGGCTTCAGGACAAGTCTCTGAATGTCCTTGAGTGGCCCAGCCAGAGCCCGGACTTGAACCCGAACAAACATCTCTGGAGAGACCTGAAAATAGCTGTACAGCGATGCTCCCCATCCAACCTGACAGAGCTTGAGAGGATCTGCAGAGAAGAATGGGAGAAACTCCCCAAATACAGGTGTGCCAAGCTTGTAGCGTCATACCCAAGAAGACTCGAGGCTGTAATCGCTGCCAAAGGTGCTTCAACAAAGTACTGAGTAAAGGGTCTGAATAGTTATGTAAATAAATTTGTCATTATGGGGTATTGTGTGTAGATTGATGAGGGAAAATAACAATTTAATCAATTTTAGAATAAGGCTGTAACGTAACAAAATGTGGAAAAAGTCAAGGGGTCTGAATACTTTCCGAATGCACTGTAGGTCTGTTGTCACTAAGACTATCAGACCATCTCCTTGACTCATGACGCAACTTTGCATCCTAAGGCAAACCCTTGGCCGCCAATTGGCGTATGCCAGAGGGAAATATGGGCAGTCCCATGATAACATAATTCAATACTGCCACCCTTCACTAACACATTCAAAGCCCCGAAGGTCTATTGCATATCTATGAGGGTGCTTTTTAAGAGAACTAACCAAATAACATGGAAAACAGTCTGTACATAAACAAATAGTAGCCATATAAATTAAATATACAACCAAAGAGCTATGACATAAGCATACAGAATACAACATTACTTGTAAACCATAATAAGGCCCTAAAATGACCACTAGGCACAACTCCACAAAGAAGCTGGATGTACCAATTAAGAACAGCAAGGTGTATGTCACGATCGTCCAGAACAGATGAGGACCAAGGCGCAGCGTTGCAGGCAAACATACTATTTATTAAGAGACACGATCAAAACAACAAACGATACGTGACAGTTCACGGTCTAACATAAACAGACTTGAAACAAGATCCCACAAACACAAATGGGAAACAGACAGTTTAAATATGGCTCCCAATCAGAGACAACCAACGACAGCTGACACTCGTTGCCTCTGATTGGGAGCCACTCAGGCCAACATAGAAATACACATACTCGATAAACAAATGAAATGCACACCCTGGCTCAACATACAAGTGTCCCCAGAGCCAGGGCGTGACAGTACCCCCCCCTAAAGGCGCGGACTCCGACCGCGCCCACCAAACACCACAGGGGAGGGACCGGGTGGGCACTCCGCTTAGGCGGCGGATCCGGCTCCGGGCCTGATCCCCGCTCCCTCTCCAGCCCCCCAAAGTACCCCTGGTCCGGTCTGGCCCCGCTGGCCGGAGCTGGACTGCACACTGGTGGAGCGGATTGCTCTAGCTCCGGCGTGAAGCATCTGACCGGTGCCGGACCAGCCACCGGTGGAACAGGCACGGGCCGTGCCGGACTGACGACGCACACCACTGGCTTGGTGTGGGGAGCAGGAGCGGGCCGCGCCGGGCTGACGAAACGCACCACTGACTTGGTGCGGGGAGCAGGAGCGGGCCGGACCGGGCTGACGAAGCGCACCACTGACTTGGTGCGGGGAGCAGGAACGGGCCGTGCCGGGCTGACGAAGCACACCACTGACTTGGTGCGGGGAGCAGGAACGGGCCGAGCTGGGCTGACGAAACGCACCACTGACTTGGTGCGGGGAGCAGGAACGGGCCGCGCCGGGCTGACAAAACGCACCACTGACTTGGTGCGGGGAGCAGGAGCGGGCCGGACCGGGCTGACGAAGCGCACCACTGACTTGGTGCGGGGAGCAGGAACGGGCCGTGCCGGGCTGACGAAGCGCACCACTGACTTGGTGCGGGGAGCAGGAACGGGCCGAGCCGGGCTGACGAAGCGCACCACTGACTTGGTGCGAGTGGCAGGAACAGGCCGGATCGTACTGGGAACACACACCACTGGCCCTACGTGGGGATCAGGAACAGGCCGGACCGGACTGGCAACACACGCCAGTACCTCTCGCCGTGCCTCTATATCCTCCTCCCCCCTGGTGACCAGTGACTCCCGTAACCTGGCGGCCTCCTGCTGCCCCATCGTCCACGGCGTTAGCCCCCCCTAAAAAAATTATGGGCTTGTCTCTCCCCCGTGCTCATGGCCTCCATCCCTCTTGCCAGACTCTCACTCATCTCCTCCCAGGTCCATCCTCTCTCCTCGTCACGCTGCTTGATCCAGTCGAGGTGGGATCTTCTGTCACGATCGTCCAGAACAGATGAGGACCAAGGCACAGCGTTGCAGGCAAACATACTCTTTATTAAGAGACACGATCAAAACAACAAACGATACGTGACAGTTCACGGTCTAACATAAACAGACTTGAAACAAGATCCCACAAACACAAATGGGAAACAGACAGTTTAAATATGGCTCCCAATCAGAGACAACCAACGACAGCTGACACTCGTTGCCTCTGATTGGGAGCCACTCAGGCCAACATAGAAATACACATACTCGATAAACAAATGAAATGCACACCCTGGCTCAACATACAAGTGTCCCCAGAGCCAGGGTGTGACAGTGTAAGACGGGAGCCGTCATCTTAGCTATTAACAGGCGACATGTAAAGTTCCAATAAAGAGACAAATAAGTTGCATAAAGCACTGTAATTCTACAAAAAAAGGCCCAAATAACAAGGCTGTAATAACCCAATACCCTGACGAGGTTACATACAGAAATAGGATACAGAACAACTGTACATAAATTACCAAAGTGCTCACATATTAAACATAAACGGCGGAAGGCAGAAGTGCAGATAAAGGTCATAACTTAATATTACCTTCATTTAACCAAAGGCAGAATGTGCATATATTCACAGTGGCAAGTACAATTTACCTCAGGTATCAAACTGGCTAATAAATTCGCTAGCTTAGTGTAACAGGACCTTGCAATTAGCAGGCTAATTAGCAAGGAACTTCTAAACAGGTGTCACGATCGTCGGGAACAGAGGACCAAGGCACAGCGTGGAAGGTGAACATATTTTTATTATATGAGTAATCACACGAACAAAACAACAAACGATAACGTGACGTCCTCGGTTCAAACACAAACCTAATTGGAACAAGATCCCACAAACACTGTGGGAACACAGCCTGTCTAAATATGGTTCCCAATCAGAGACAACCAGCAACAGCTGACACTCGTTGCCTCTGATTGAGAACCACTCTGGCCAACATAGACATACATGAACTAGAAAAACAAAGAACACTCACACCCTGGCTCAACATACAAGCCTCCCCAGAGCCAGGGCGTGACAGTACCCCCCCCCCCCAAAGGCGCGGACTCCGACCGCGCCAACCAAATACCACAGGGGAGGGACCGGGTGGGCACTCCGCCTTGGCGGCGGATCCGGCTCCGGGCATGATCCCCACTCCCTCTCTAACCCCCCAAAGTACCCCTGGTCCGGTCTGGCCCTGCTGACCGGAGCTGGACTGCACACTGGTGGAGCGGATTGCTCTAGCTCCGGCGTGAAGCAGCTGACCCGTGCCGAACCAGGCACCGGTGGAACAGGCACGGGCTGTGCCGGACTGACGACGCACACCACTGGCTTGGTGTGGGGAGCAGGAACGGGCCGAGCTGGGCTGACGAATCGCACCCCTGACTTGGTGCGGGGAGCAGGAGCGGGCCGGACCGGGCTGACGAAGCGCACCACTGACTTGGTGCGGGGAGCAGGAACGGGCCGAGCCGGGCTGACGAAGCGCACCACTGACTTGGTGCGGGGAGCAGGAGCGGGCCGAGCTGGGCTGACGAAACGCACCACTGACTTGGTGCGGGGAGCAGGAGCGGGCCGGACCGGGCTGACGAAGCGCACCACTGACTTGGTGTGGGGAGCAGGAACGGGCCGAGCCGGGCTGACGAAGTGCACCACTGACTTGGTGCGGGGAGCAGGAGCGGGCCGAGCTGGGCTGATGAAACGCACCACTGACTTGGTGCGGGGAGCAGGAGCGGGCCGGACTGGGCTGATGAAACGCACCACTGACTTGGTGCGGGGAGCAGGAGCGGGCCGAGCTGGGCTGACGAAACGCACCACTGACTTGGTGCGGGGAGCAGGAGCGGGCCGGACCGGGCTGACGAAACGCACCACTGACTTGGTGCGGGGAGCAGGAGCGGGCCGGACCGTACTGGGAACACACCACTGGCCCTACGCGGGGATCAGGAACAGGCCGGACCGGACTGGCAACACACCCCAGTACCTCTCGCCGTGCCCCTACATCCTCTTTCCCCCTGGTGACCAGTGACTCCCGTAACCTGGCGGCCTCCTGCTGCCCCGTCGTCCACGGCGTGAGCCCCCCCCTAAAAAATTTCTGGGCGTCTCTCCTACCCGTGGACCAGGTCTCCATGTCTCTCGCCAGACTTTCGCCCTTCTGCTTCCAGGTCCAGCCTCTCTCTTCCTCACACGGCTTGACCCAGTCGAGGAGGCGAAGGAGATCCGCTAGAGATCTCCCTGGCGATGGCTCCTGGACACGCTGCTTGGTCCAGTCTTGGTGGGATCTTCTGTCACGATCGTCGGGAACAGAGGACCAAGGCGCAGCGTGGAAGGTGAACATATTTTTATTATATGAGTAATCACACGAACAAAACAACAAACGATAACGTGATGTCCTCGGTTCAAACACAAACCTAATTGGAACAAGATCCCACAAACACTGTGGGAACACAGCCTGTCTAAATATGGTTCCCAATCAGAGACAACCAGCAACAGCTGACACTCGTTGCCTCTGATTGAGAACCACTCTGGCCAACATAGACATACATGAACTAGAAAAACAAAGAACACTCACACCCTGGCTCAACATACAAGCCTCCCAGAGCCAGGGCGTGACAACAGGTAAAACCAAAATCAGTTCAATTTAATCTAAGGCCTTCACACATTTTGGGGCTGCAGTTGGGTTGAATCAGATTTAGTGCTGTGGCTTCAGAGACAAGTAATTCTGCATGTAGATGTTGACGTAGTAGTAGTAGTAGTCTGCCTTCTCTCTGATCACCCCTGTGACCTCCGGGTCAAGGTGCAGTCGCTGCACAAGCACATCTTCTTGGGCACAGACAACAAAGTCACACCACTGTAGCCCAGTAATGAGCAGTTGGCCCTGCACCTGCCAATAGTACGCATGTCTCCTCTGTAAAGTAGCAGTGCCATGTTGCATTTGCAGATATTTACAATCAACATCGTTTTTGACATTGGGGCACTTTATCTCAACCAATCCGAAAGGTGGGCACTCCATGGGATCGTAGATCAATCCATCTGGTGAGGCACCAAGCCAGGGGACATCAGGGTGTATGACGAGACCGCAGCGGGAATAGTTGACATTCTTCATCCTGCTGCTTCAAACTCCATCTCAGACCCTCTCTTCATCTCTGCTGTCTGCTTTGTGTCCCTGATGATCCTCTCCGCCAGAGACTCTGCAGAACTCTGCCCCCTTAATGGCAGACTTCTCGAATATGTGAGGATGTAATTCTTGCATTTCTGAGGTGATGCCAGTCCTGGACAGCGCTCTGATCCCTCATTGCTTTTTAAATTTTGTGGGCCATGTCCATGGTCACGTTCAGGCTCTTTAGGTGGTAGTGCTCCTCTTCAGTGCACACAAACACGCACTGCATTGGTTAAAGCTAGTAGTCGACTAGAGGTAGGGATGGATTTGGTGGAGCATCTTTGTGGACTTTGATGTGCTTAGTAGCAAGCTTCGGCTGCTGGTAGGAAAGGACACTCCCCTTCTGCACCAACCCGAAAGCAGATTCCACTAGAGGCCTGTCAACAGTCATGACCATGGTGGTCACCAGTGGTTTGTCCAACATGTGGAAATCCCTGTAGGTCTCTTCCACCTTCAGCACAGACAGATCCGGCAACAGTCCAACCATTCCTTTATAGAGTGTGCTTCTATAGTATACAAGATAGAAACACTGAATCAGTGAATTTGTAGACAGAAATTATGCAATCTTAAACAATAAAATAAAGTAACTTACCTCACTCCTCCTTCTGCCATGCTTTTTGGGGTAGGCTTGGATATAACAATCTTGTTGATTGGCCCAGGTTTCACACCCTGTGAGACCAATACAGAGCTATGTTTGCAACCTCTGAGAAGAAGAACCTATCAGTGTTTTTGTAAACACTGATAGGTTATTTAGCCACAGTGGATAAATCTAGACATTCTAAATGCCAATATAATTTACTGAAAACACTTACAGTTGTTCCAGGTTTGTGCCATCGTTGTTCTGCCTCTGTAAAGCTGTGAACAGGAAGCACAATTGGCACACTGAGCCGTCTAGAAGAGCAATACAACTGACTGCAGAGAGCAGTGCCTGCTACACATGTGCAATGGTGATGGGTGAGGACGACAGGGTCAGAATCCCGAAGCACAATCTAAACAGATCCCAGAGCAAAAAAATATGTGATTACAGATATTATCAAAAACAGTGATAATTTAGGCCTGTGTTAGTATAGAATTAAGAGCACAGCTACAGCATAACAAACATTTTAGGCAGTGGATATACAGCAGGCAGATTTTGTAACCATACGACTAACCCTTACCCTCCCTGATCATCCCTAACTTTTGAATCTGCCATGTAATTGCCCATCATTTACAACATTTAAACTTAAACTGGTTGCTTAAACTGGTTGCAAAACTATAACAATCATATCATAGCTTTCTCCCTACTCTCAGACTGTGTTGCTTCTCGTTATTTTTCATTGACCTTTAGCACCAGGCCCTCACGCTGACTTCTCCACTCAGCTTGTCTCTGTTTGACACTGATGAACAATAACAAGTCAGAAATGTTACGCTTACCCTGAAGTAGCTAGCTTGGTAGATAGTCAGCAGTATATTGCAACTGAACATTAGCTACCTTCGTACATCCAACACGTTATAACTTACACAATAATGAATGTCAGTATAGCTTAGCTAGCTATTGTTTAGTGTAGCTACCCAACTAACGAAATACACAACACTATTTATACTATACTACTATTATATACAAAAAAGCACGCTTGTGAAACAGACCAAGCAGTCCAGGCCGGGGTTTGGGGTTTTGAGAAGTCAATGAGAGAAGTGAAAAATTCTTCCTTAGTTTTCTCGAAATCTAAAGGCACAACCTACGTTCGAGCCAATGTCTTAAATCAAATCAAATTGTATTTGTCACAAATGCGCCAAATTCAACAGGTGTTACCTTGAAATGCTTACCAACAATGCAGTTTTAAGAAAATAGAGTAAAGAAAATATTTACTAAGTAAACTAAAGTTAAAAACATTAAATAAAAAAAAGTCACACAATAAAATAACAATAATGAGGCTATATACAGGGGGTACCGGTACCGAGTCAATGTGCGGGGGTACAGGTTAGTCGAGGTACATGTAGGTAGGGGTAAAGTGACTATGAATAGATAATAAACAGCGAGTAGCAGCAGTGTGTCAATGCAAATATTCCGGGTGGCCATTTGATTAATTGTTCAGCAGTCTCATGGCTTGGGGGTAGAAGCTGTTAAGGAGCCTTTTGGACCTAGACTTAGCGCTCCGGTACCGCTTGCCGTGCGGTAGCAGAGAGAACAGTCTATGACTTGGGTGACTGGAGTCTTTGACAATTTTTGGGGCCTTCCTCTGACACCACCTAGTATATAGGTCCTGGATGGCAGGAAGCTTGGCCCCAGTGATGTACCGGGCCGTACGCATCACCCTCTGTAGCGCCTTATGGTCGGATGCCGAGCAGTTGCCATACCAGGCGGTGATGCAACCGGTCAGGATGCTGCAGCTGTAGAACTTTTTGAGGATCTGGGGACCCATGCCAAATCTTTTCAGTCTCCTGAGGGGGAAAAGGCATTGTTGTGCCCACTTCACGACATTCTTGGTGTGTTTGGACCATGATAGTTTGTTGGTGATGTGGACACCAAGGAACATGAAACTCTCAACCCGCTCCACTACAGCCACGTCGATGTGAATGGGGGCGTGTTCGGCCCTCCTTTTCCAGTAGTCTTCGATCATCTCCTTTGTCTTTCTCACGTTGAGGGAGAGGTTATTGTCCTGGCACCACACTGCCAGGTCTCTGACCTCCTCCCTATAGGCTGTCTCATCGTTGTCGGTGATCAGGCCTACCACCGTTGTGTCATCAGCAAACTTAATGATGGTGTTGGAGTCGTGCTTGGCCACGCAGTCGGGGGTGAACAGGGAGTACAGGAGGGGACTAAGCACGCACCCCTGAAGGGCCCCCGTGTTGAGGATCAGCGTGGCAGATGTGTTGTCCCCACTCCTCTTCTATCCTATCATTTTCCCTTCTGCTAAATCCTTCTCCCACCTGTCTCCTGATTCTGCCTCTTCGACCCTACTCTCCTCCCTTTCCGCATCCTATGACTCGCACTGTCCCCGTTCCTCCCGGCCGGCTCGGCCCACCCCTCAGCTCCATGGCTGAGTGACTCATTGCCAGCTTACAGAACAGGGCTGCGGGCAGCTGAGCTAAAATGGAGGAAAACTAAACTTTCACTCCCTCCTCTCTACCTTCTCTTCCTCTGTATCCGCTGCTAAAGCAACTTTCTACCACTCTAAATTTCAAGCTTCTACCTTCTCCCCTCTCCTTAATCCTCCACCCCCTCCCCTCACTCCTCCATCTCTGTGAACAACTTAGTCAACCACTTTGAAAAGAAGGTTGACGACATCCACTACTCATTCACTCAGCCTATTCAGTCCACTGGTCTCACTCACACAAAACTACCCTACGCCCTGACCTCTTTCTCCCCTCTCTCTCCAGATGACATTCTGCGACTAGTGAGGTCTGGCCGCCCGACAACCTGCCCGCTTGACCCCATCCCCTCCTTCCTTCTTCAGACAATCTCCCATTCCTCACTTCCCTCATCAACTCATCCATGACTTCAAAATGGCCAGAATCGCTCCCCTCCGCAAGAAACCAACACTCGACTCATCTGACGCCAAAACTATAGACCTGTATCCCTTCTTTCTTTTCTTTCCAAAACAATTGAGCGTGCTGTCTCTGATCAACTTTCTCGCTATCTCTCTCAGAACGATATTGACCCTAACCAGTCAGGCTTCAAGATGGGTCACCGAGACTGCTCTTCTCTGTGTCACGTAGGCTCTCTTCACTGACAAAGCTGACTCTCTCTCCTCTGTTCTCATCCTCCTAGATCTATCCGCTGCCTTCGACATCGTGAACCATCAGATCCTCCTCACCACCCTCTCAGGGCTGGGTGTCTCAGGCTCTGCATGTTTTTTTAAATAATGGTAAAAAAATTGTTTTTACATACAATCTACTTCCAGTGAAGCCGCTCAACATCTACATAACATTCAGTCATCTAACAGACTCCCATGCAGAGCAACCCACAGCAGTTTATACCCCTTTTTCTCCCGAATTTTGTGATATCCAATTGGTAGTCACAGTCTTGTCCCATCCCTACAACTCCCGTACGGACTCGGGAGAGGCAAAGGTTGAGAGCCATTCGTCCTCCGAAACACGACCTGGCCAAGCAGCACTGCTTCTTGACACACTGCTCGCTTAACCCAGAAGCCAGCCGCACCAATGTGTCAGAGGAAACATTGTACAGCTGGCGACAGAAGTCAGCATGCATGTACCCGGCCGCCACAAGGAGTCTCTAGAGCGCGATGGGACAAGGACATCCCAGCCGGCCAAACCCTCCCCTAACCCGGACGACGCTGGGTCAATTGTGCACCGCCTCATGGGTCTCCCGTTCGCGGCCGGCTGCAAGACACAGAACGGGATCGAACCCGGATCTGTTGTGACGCCTCTCAGGAGGCCCCGAAGATAAATAATTTAGTATTAGTTTATTAGTAATTGACTGACCAGGTATCTCCAGATCTCCCAACAATACTATTTCTAAGGTACATTTTAGATTAATGTTATGGTTTTTCAGCCATTCCTGAACCTGAGACCAGAAGCAGGCTACCTGAGGTCAATACCAAAACAAATGGTCTTTTGATTCTGTATCCTCACAACAAAATCTGCAGAGCTGTGATGATTGTATGCCCCAAATATTCAGCATTCCAATCTTGCGTCGTTTTATACATCAATTCATACACCCTGTACCATGGAATCAGTACATCAAAAATCTCTTCCCAACTATTTTGCAATCTGTATGGCACAGCTGCCAACATCCTGGTCCTCAAATGAAACTGGTATACTTTCCTATTTATGCTATTTTTATTCCTCTGGCAGTTTTGATCCTTTATATTGGGCAGACAGACCAGTTCCCTACCTTCTCCCGCTGTGTCACGGTCGTCTAAGAGCGAAGGAGACCAAGGCGCAGCGTGTGCAAGAAACATGACTTTATTAATTAAAGTTTCGAACTACAAACAAAAGACGACTCATGAAGTCCACGGTACACCGACCGAAACGGAACAAAAACCCACAACACCCAAAGGAAAACATACAGATAAATATGGCTCCCAATCAGAGATAACGAGCCGACAGCTGACACTCGTTACCTCCGATTGGGAGTCACATGACTACACAAGAACTAACCAAAACCACACACACCCAAATGAACACACCCTATTCCCAACCTAACCAAAACAAACCCCCACAAAACGAATACACCCTGGCTCAAATACAAGTCCCGGAGCCAGAGTGTGACAGTACCCCCCCCTAAAGGCGTGGACTGCGACCGCGCCTCAACTAGGGCTAACCAAGGGAGGGCTGGGTGGGCATACCTCTTCGGCGGTGGTTCTGGCTCTGGTCGTGGTCCCCACCCCACCATAGTCACTACCCGCTTCCGTAGCCTCCTCCAACTGACCACCCTCCAACTTAACCCCACCGGATTAAGGGGCAGCACCGGACTAAGAGGCAGCACCGGACTAAGGGGCAGCACCGGACTAAGGGGCAGCACCAGGATAAGGGGCAGCACCAGACTAAGGGGCAGCACCGGACTAAGGGGCAGCACCGGACTGAATGGCGGATCCTGGCTGGACGGCTCATGGCTGGCTGACGGATCTGGCTGCTCATGGCTGGCTGACGGATCTGGCTGCTCATGGCTGGCTGACGGATCTGGCTGCTCATGGCTGGCTGACGGATCTGGCTGCTCATGGCAGGCTGACGGATCTGGCTGCTCATGGCTGGCTGACGGATCTGGCTGCTCATGGCTGGCTGACGGATCTGGCTGCTCATGGCAGGCTGACGGATCTGGCTGCTCATGGCTGGCGGAAGGCTCTGGCAGATCCTGTCTGGCGGAAGGCTCTGGCTGATCCTGTCTGGCGGAAGGCTCTGGCTGATCCTGTCTGGCGGAAGGCTCTGGCTGATCCTGTCTGGCGGAAGGCTCTGGCTGATCCTGTCTGGCGGAAGGCTCTAGCGGCTCCTGTCTGGCGGAAGGCTTTAGCGGCTCCGGTCTGGCGGACGGCTCTGAAGGCTCATG